TTTTTTTTTTTTTTGACATGCTATTTTCTTTATTAATAGCCAAATGAAATACCAATAATCAGTTAGTTCGAGTGAAAAGTGTTTACACCTAAAAATAAACCAATAGGATAATGTCACGTGTCAAGTTGAAGCTCAATTATCAAGAAAAGTCAATAGGTTGGATTTGGACTGGGCTGTATTATAGTTTAATGGCCCAGGCGGAATTTTAAAGAAGCTAGATTTCAGATGGTAGAAGATAAAATAATTTCTGGTGTTTGAGGTTGATTTAAAGTAGGAAGTTGAGGTTTTTTAGGAGAAGGATTATTAGGGTATTATTGAAGATAAGGTTGAATAAAAAACTATCAACTGCCAGACACATCTACCATACATGGAACCCCCACTACTTGATTGGAGAGGGCCGAGAAACATGGAGGAGGTTTCTCAGCACCGAAGAAAAGAAAAACAAGAGGAAAAAATCAGTTCCAGATGGTCTGCCCCTACACAAACTGCCTAGAGCATATGTTTTTCAACTTTCAGATTGCTTTTTCCAAAATAGTTTCCAGATTAGTTTGCAAGATCTGTTCTTGTTCATAGCCTTAGTTTAGGTTTTTTCCATCTTTGCTCATATCTTTCCTCAAAGATTTTAATTTAGGTTAGTTTTTAAGCATTTGGAAGCAAGTTAGCTTATTAAATAGGTATGCCTTGTTGATTTGGTTAATTCTTCTTTCTCTTATGGATTCATCTATGTTATTTGTTTATGTAAATAGGTTGAATGCTTTCTGCCTTTGTTCTTTTGTTTTTGCACAACAGCTAGACATGCAGTATACTTAATTTCAATTTCCATATTTAATTTTATAAGTTTCCAGACTTTAATTATTTCGTAGATTCTCCTTCAGTTTTAGTTATCAAGTAGTTTAGTTATTTTTATTTTAAATCTGTAAGTAATTAGTTTAATTGTTATGGATTGCGTAGTAAAACTGTTGTCTGTGATTTTATATTTTCTGTTGTCTACGAGTTTTATTTTTGTGGCATGTTGTTCTCTTTTGCTGATTTCATGTTAGATTAATTGCCTTAGGATTTTGTGTTAATTTTAAGATTTGTAACTTTTATTACACTTTTATGGTTGTGAAGTCCTTGGAGGTTTCCAAGGCAATTAGTAACCCATTCTGCAGAACTCTACTCTCTGTTTTGCAACATCGTCTGGGGGCGCAATTTATTTCACATACATTCTTTCCAGCCATCCTTTTGGAGATCGATCGTTGAAAAGGAGAAGGGTCGTTTGGAAAATTCTATTTTCTTGTTTTAGACAAAGTAAGTGGCACGCCTAATACCCAAACTCACATGGTAAAGGCCAACTAAGGATTTTGGGAGAAACAGAAAGAATTCGATTTCCCTTAAGTAAGTTCTCGATTTTGAGTTTTGTAAATGAAAAAATAGGCATTGGAAAAGCTTCCCCCCTATATGGGGTTTGATCCGGTTCGACTTCGAACTAGTCAGGATCCAATGTGGTTTATGAATACGAAGGGTTAATAAAAAAAAAAAAAACCAAATGAAATTAGTATACTTTTTCTTAGTAACTACTTGATAAAAAAATTGTTATGTCTTTAAAAAAATGGGCTCAGATTTGTCAAATAGTAAGGATATAATAGATACTGAATGGGAATAATGGAATGATTTTTTTTT